GTAATAAATACGGATGAACTTTATAATTCCTCTAAATTCCTACATGGCGCCGTTTCATACAAGTCAAAGTAACCATATGCAAACATATTATTCAAATAATAAAAAAGATAGCAAAGTTAAATATTGGTTATTGTTCAACTAAATTTAGAATAGAGTCACAGGTACATAGTATGGCAGAATATTGAAAACGAAAAATATAGTATACATGCGGCAAACGCCTCGAGCGAAACTTCGTTTGCACGTTTACAAACAAGCAAAACTCATGCATTTGATATTATATATCGCCCGACATAATGTATTTATCCTTGCCCATAAGAAAAATTATTTAAAAAAAACAACAATACAAGTAAAAAGTAAAGATCGTAACCATCCATCACCCCGAATTTAATGCGAAACACGTGAATTTGTAGAGAAACACGTGTGTTGCTTCATAGCTCGTATTCCAGCGTGTTCCGGTTGGGGTTCCGGGTGTTCCGGATGGGGTTCCGGGTGTTCCGGGTGGTGTTCCGGGTAGGGTTCCGGGTGTTCCGGGTGGGGTTCCGGGTGTTCCGGGTAGGGTTCCGGGTGTTCCGGGTGGGGTTCCGGGTGTTCCGGCTTTTACAGACACCCAGATTTAATTCGTAGCCCTAGCGAATCAGTTCTAAAGTTCTCTATTTAATGTTGTTGATTTCATGTTTATACTAACTTATATTTTAATACTCGCTTTAGTGTGCATTATTTTATTACTTTAGATATCTCTTTTATTAATAGCAAAGTCCAAAGCCAAAGAAGCTAGGATTGTTTACTATGATCTATTCACTACACTTCAACTTATAAAATACGGATTTATTAGGAATGTAATTAAAACTAACACTTTCAAATTTAAACTTTTTTAAAAAATGTCAAAGATAAACTACAAACTATATAAAATCTCAAATATAAAATCTTCCGTTGACCAGTAAAACTATTTTGTTTTGACAATACAACAAAAATATGTTATTATAAAAACAACATTTTTATTTATCTATTTTTAAATATTCAGTTTTGTAAAATAGAGAACCGCCCTTTAACACTGTGTTAATTAATAGCCTAACACTGTCTGGTATTAAACTATTGCTTCTCTCAGTCATAAATTTAACAACAGACGCTCTCACTGAAAACGATGGCGTCCCAGACTCATATTTTGAGCATGATCCATCTGCTTATACTGTCGATTAAACTCAAGCAGAGGTTAAAATGTAGAGGCCGGCTTATAGCAAAGCTGTATAAAACGCCAAGTTCTTCTTCAGCGAGTTAGCGATTGCTTTTAATAGTTCGGGAAAGCATCGTTCGCTGGATGTATTGATGGGGGAAAATGGTTAGCTGCGAAAGTTCTTGGAGAAAAACCAGCACAGTCCGCAGTCAATAACAATCAACACATTGGTACGGCAGACATTCCCGTCCCGTCCGACTTTTCAATTCCCTGTTTCGGCAGTTTTTCTTAGTATCTCGAATCACTTGGACATGTTCCCCAGCAACAGTGCTTAGCATTAACCATGTTTGTAATTTGGGATAAATTTGAATTCGTTTTAGTACAGATAAAATAAATAAAAACGTCAATTTAGACCAATTTATGTTCGCTGCTAGTACAATTTTATACAAAATGTTAGTTTGTTTGTCTGAGTCTCGTGGGGGGTCTTCACTTGGAGAATCTATTTTTAGCTACTGCGGACAACGCTATTTCGAAATTATTCACACCTGATGATTCCTATACGGATGAAACAGACTGTTGTGGTTTTTTGAGGTAAAACGAAAAACTATATATATATATATATATATATATATATATATATATATATATATATATATATATATATATATATATATATATATATATATATATACCGGGTGGTGCAAAAAAAAGTTAACCTGTTTGATTTATTTTAACTTAAAACTAAAAGAGCCATTACACCTAAACTACGTGCATTGCATTCAGTATTGTTTAACTTAAATTTTGATATACGCCCTGTGCAATTACGTGCAATATTGACCGAGAGAGCTGCGTTTAAACTTGAATAAACATTTTTGGAAGTGTCGAGAATCAGCTAAAAACAGCCTGTTAAACTAATTTGATAACTGTTACCATTTTATCGTGAATATTCGTTTGAATGAAGTGAAATTTAAATTAAAAATGTTTATTGGATGGATGTGCTCCTTTATTTTTGCTTAAGGTCTTTGGGAATGCATGAAAATTAAATTATGAAGCGATTTTGATTTTAAAAGATTTATTCCAAATATTCAATGACCCTGGGGAATCAAATTATAATGTTCCAAGAAAGAAACGTCAACAGTTTTTGTATAAATACGCCTCGTTTAACGAAGGTCCAAAGAGTTTCGATATGTTTAGAATATGCAAGGGTAGCCTAAATAATACTCGTGAGGTTATACCGGCGGCGTTGCGCAGGTCTCTGACAACGAACGTGTACTTTATTCTGACTATAGCATCTAAGCACAGGTTATTGCTGTATTAAATATTTGATAGGCCGTTTTTGGCTAATTCTCGACACTTTCAAAAATGGTTACTCAAGTTTAAACGCAGCTCTCTCGGTCAATATTGCACGAAAATGCACAGGGCGTATATCAAAATTTAAGTTAGACAATACTGAATGCAATGCACGTAGTTCACGTGTAATAGCTCTTTTAGCTTTTAAGTTAAAACAAATCAAACAGGTTAACTTTTTTTTGCGCCACCCGGTATATATGATCAGATATCAGTAATTGTTGTGTATCTTTGCTCTGATGGATTTGTTTAAAAAAACAGTATGCTTAATGATGTACGTTAAATTAAGAAACGCGCTGCAGCTTTGAAAAGATTTGATAAAAAATAGCAAAGATACACAACAATTACTGATATCTCATTTTAGTATAATTACATTGGTGATTATCCACCCTGATTGGTT